GTTGTTTGGTGGGCCCAGGCTGGATTCAAACCTGCCATCTTAGGTGTATGTGGCTGGCGCCTTAGCCACTTGAGCCAAAGGTGCCGAGCCGAGATTCTGTCTCTTAAAAAAAAAAAAGGCTTCTATGACCAAAGTTGGCCCACCTATAATCTTAGCTACCTGAGTGGCTGAGGTGGGAGGCTCTCTTGAGCCCAGCCTGGGCAACATAGTGAGACCAAAAGACTTCAGTGTCCTATTTGTGCCTGCAAAGGGGACCTCCCCACATGAGGTGGTGTACTGGATGGTGCCTGCTGGGGTTGGGGACCCACTCATAACCATGAGATCTGAGGCTGCTCAGTTGGAGCCATGGTGGGGGAACCTGGACAGCTCACCTGTTGATACACGGGCTGCTGCCCTGGGACATAGGGCTGTGGGGGCGGCAAGGCTGTGTCCTGGCTTGGGAGGGTGGTCATGAGATTCTGTGGATACAGTGAAGCCCCATGTGAGGCAGTGGCCCTGTGCCCAGACAGGTGAGGCCATTCTGACCACCAGAAGAGGGGAAGGGGTAGGGCTGCCCCTCAGGGCCCAGCAGGCCCCCCAGGTCTTACCTGCATGTTGTAGGGCTGATAGCCCATGGAGACTGACTGGCTGCCCAGGTAGCTCATGGTGCCGGACTGTGGGGGCTGAGAGATTGCTGGGAGGCTCTGTGGGGCTTGGGAAGCCACGTTCTGCAGAGAGAATGGGTGCAGTGAGAAGGGGGCTGGGACCACCCAGCAGGCAGGAGCAGCCTTGCCCACATACCTGGTAGCCCGGTGTGGGAGTGGGCTGATAGGATGAGTAAGCAGGGCTGGCGGTGGGCCCGGCCTGGGCCTGGGAGGCTGCCTGTGCCCCAGCAGCCCCTGCTTGGTACATGTAGGCGCTCACCATGCTGGGATCTGTGCCAGGCAAGACAGATGAGATGGTTGAGCACGTGGGAGGAGGGGGGTGCCCTGAGTTTTCCTTTTGGTTGTGACTTTTGGAACCAAGTTCATGTGTCACTTCACAAAAAAAGAAAAACAAGAATGGAAGAAAGATCCTAAAATGGAATGAAATTGGGGAAAATGAACCCACTGCGTTCCAAATGAGTGACGTGTTCACACTGAAAGGTGGTAGAACCAATCCCAGTAACTTCCAAACTGGACTGGACTTCACGGCCTCAGGCCAGAGACTAACAGGAACTAGTTAAGGCAACTTTGTCACAGATACCCAGGTCAGCACCAAGCACACCAAGGAAAGGACTTGAATGACTGGACCACAAATGCAGTGTCAGAGCAGACTTGAAGCTCTCAGCACGCATGTAAGGTGTGTGCCCATGTATGGCGACTTGTTTGGCCATGTGTTTTCAACCTCTTTGCTAAGGACAAGACACTAGCACACCAGGAACCTAGATGTTGGCTTCGAAACACCACTCTGTTTAAAGGAACCAAGCCTATAATCCCAGCACTCTGGGAGGCTATGTTAGGTGGATTGCCTAAGCCCACAAGTTAAGACACCAGCCTGAGGTAGGGCGAGATCCTGCCTCTACAAATAGCCAAGACTTCTGGCAGGCTCCTGTAGTCCCAGTTACTTAGGAGACTGAGGCAAGAGAATTGCATGAGCCTAGTCATCTGAGGTTGCTGTCAGAATTGCATGAGCCTAGGAGTCTGAGGTTGCTATGATGCCACAGCACTCTACTAAGGGCGACAAAGTGAGACTTTGTTTCAAAAGGAAAAAAAAAGGAACCAGGGGGCAGCGCCTGTGGCCCAAAGGAGTAGGGCACTGGCCCCATATACTGGAAGTAGCTGCCCTGGTCAAAAACTGCAAAAAAAAAAATAAATAAATAAAGGAACCACAGCTCCCTGGAGAGAGGTCTGATTCCAGGGCTGAGCACCCGTGTGGTGGGCAGAGAATACTTGCCCACCAGGAAAGTAAGCAGCACCCAAAAGATGCAGGGCTGTGCTAAGGCATAGGAGCCAGTGACTGGGCTCCCACAGGCCACCCCTGGGATGATGTGAGCTTCAAAACAATTACGGTAAAAGATTGTGAACTTTGGCTTGGCCCCCCCTTAGCTCAGTGGTTAGGGTGCTGCCCACATATACCAAGGCAGGTGGGTTCAAACCCACCCCAGGCCTGCTAAACAATGTCAACTGCAACAAAAAATAGCCAGTCATTGTGGCGGCACTTGTAGTCCCAGCTACTTAGGAGGCTGAGACAAGAGAATCAATTAAGCCCAAGAGTTTGAGGGTGCTGTGAGCTGTGATGCCACAGCACTCTACCAAGGGTGACAAAGTGAGACTCTGTCTCAAAAAAAATAAAAAAAGATTGTGATCTTTTCAACAAAATAGAGAGCCATGAGCCTGTGCCAATATGGTGATACACAGAAGAAAAAGTGTCTCCTTCCAGGGGACAGAGCATGGCAGAACCAGGAAGATGCTGCTCAGCAAACACTATAAATAAGCCAAGAAACATACAGCAAAAAAAAAAAACAAACAAAAAAAAAAAAACCAATGGCCAGGCTTGGCACCTGTAGCTCAGTGGTTAGGGCACCGGCCACATACACAGAGGCTGGCAGATTCAAGCCCAGCCCAGGCCTGCTAAACAAGAATGATAACTACAACCAAATATAGCTGGGCATTGTGGCAGGCACCTGTAGTCCCAGCTACTCAGGAGGCTGAGGCAAGAGAATTGCTTACATCTAAGAGCTTGAGTTTGCTGTGAGCTGTAATGCCATGGCACTCTACCCAGGCCAACATGGTGAAACTTTGTCTAAAAAAAAAAAAAAAAAAAAAAAAAAAAAAAGGCAAAGCCCAGTGGGTGAGAGCCTTAGGAGTACTAGAATACCCAGTGTCTCCAGGTCTCCCCCCAAAGATGCTTGTAGATAAAGGAAAAGACTATCACTTAACAGTGAAGAAAACTCTGGGAGGCTGAAGGGGTTGGATTGCCTTCAGGAATTTGAGACCAGCCTGAGTAAGAGTGAGACTCGGCTTGGTGCCTGTGGCTTAAGGGGCTAAGGCACCAGCCACATAACACCTAAGGTGGCGAGTTTGAATCCAGCCCGGGCCCGCCAAACAGCAATGACAGCTGTACCAAAAAATAGACATGCGTTGTGGTGGGCGCCTGTGGTCCCAGCTACTTGGGAGGCTAAGGCAGGAGACTCCCTTGAGCCCAGGAGTTGGAGGTTGCTGTGAGCTGTGATGCCATGGCACTCTACCCAAGGGGATAGCTGGAGGCTATGTCTCAAAAAAAAAAAGAGTGAGACTATCTCTAAAAAACCCAGGTGTTGTGGTAGGCACCTATAGTCCCAGCTACTTGGGAGGCTAAGGCAAGAGGATCACTTGAGCACAAGAGTTTGAGGTTGCTATGAGCTGTGGTCACATGGGATTCTACCCAAGGCAAAAGAGACTATTTAGACAAAACAAAAAAACCCCAGTGAAGATGCTAAGCAGACCCCACCTCAACCATGCCCCCAGTAACGGGACACAGGGACACCATGTGGCTCCCCAAGGCACATGGTATCATTTGGGCCAGTGACAAAAAGGGAAACCCCAGAACGCAGAATGGAAACACTAGACAAATGCGAACCGAGGGAGGGCCGGGTAATGGCTACTGCTCTGAGCAGTGAACAGCATCAGAATACATGAAGACAGACTGAGGAATGTTTTAGATTAAAGGATATAACCAGGCAGGACAGCAGAATGGTATATATACAACAGGATTTTTGTTTTTTTGTCACCCTCAGTAGACAAAGGGTCTACTATGAGCTATGATGTCATAGCTCACAGCAACCTAGAACTCTCGAGCCGAAGTGATTCCCTTGCCTCAGCCTCCCAAGTACCTGGGACTACTGGTGCCTGCCCCAATGCCCAGCTTTTTTTTTTTGGAAGATGAAGTCTTGCTCTGGCTCAGGCTGGTCTTGAACTTGTGAGCTTAGGCAATCCACCTGGCTCAGCCTCCCAAAGTGCTAGGATTATAGGCGTGAGCCACCATGCCTGGCCTGCAAAGGGGTTTGCTGTCAGTATGGGGGGCAGCACTGGGACAGTCTAAGCCTGGAATGAGGCAGTCTTGGCACCTCATGGGTTTAGGATGCAAGTCACTGAGTCATTTGGGGGAAGGCCCCCCCCTGCCACTTACAACAGTTCAGGCAAGGAAGTGTTCCAGTGACAGGATAAAGCAAATACATGCTTGGTTTTGGGGAATTAGGAAAGCTTTTTGTATCATTCTAACTTTTCTGTAAACTAGGCTAAATCAAAAATTAAAAAGCAGTGGTCTTGGGCTCATCTTGGCTGATGCCACCCCTCCACTCTACCAATGTTACCTGCTGTGGTGCCAGGCATGCTGGGGTATGCACCAGTGGCAGGGGCCGGCTGGGTCATGTACACACTGTGCATGGGGGAGCCCTCCACTGAGCCTGCAGGGCTGAAGGTGCTGGGGAAACTGGCTGGGCCCGAGGGCTGATAGAGCACACCCCCGGCTGTGGGCACGGCCTGGAGCTAGAGACAAAGGGGAGATGGTGGTAAGTTAGGGCATCGGCCCTGAAGTCCCAGGGCAGGTGGGGCAGATGGCTCGTGCCTGGGCGTAGGGCAGGGGGAAGGCGGGCATCTGGGCGCGCATCTGCACGGTCTGCTTCTGCTGCTCCAGCCGCAGCTGCCGCTCCTTCTCCTGCTCCTGCAGGCGCTGGATAGCCAGCTGCCTCTGCACCTCCAGGTATTCCTGCTCAGACACAAGGTGGTGGTCAAGCCAGTGCTGCCTCCCCAGCTGTGCCCCACCTGCAGGTGGCCTGGCCACCACACCTGCTTCTTCTGCCGCATGATCTCAAGCTTCTGGGCCAGTTGGATCTGGCGCTGGCGCTCAGCCTCCTCAGCTGCCCGGCGGAGCTTCTCCCGGTGCTCTTCGCGAAGGGCGCTCAGGGCCCCCCGGGCATCACGGATCTGTGCCAACTTGTCCTGCAGACCCTCATAGTGCACTGTGGACAGAGGGCAGAGTGGTCCTGACCATCAAGCATGGTGCCAGGAAACTCCTGGCATGCAAGACTCAAGGACAGGCAACCCCATGCTGGGATTCTGCCCTGAGCAGGGCCTGTTCCTTCCTGTGCCTGGCCTCCAGCCAAGTGCAGAAAAACTACTTGCTGGCCTTGGGGCTCTGGGGAGGTGGCACAGTCCTGGGCTTGGCAGGGCATGGCCGTCACTGGGACCAGGTTTTGCTGAGACACTCCAGAGGAGCCTATGGCCTCCAGGAGGGATACCTAGGAGTCTGGCTCTCTCTGAGGAGGCCAGGGCAGTATGGATAGGGGCTCACATAACTCCACTGCCTGCAGGCCACCTACGCCTGCGCTCGTCCAGCTGGTTGAGCAGCTCCAGCAGCTGTGGGTGCATGCTGTTGATGGACTGGAAGAGTGAGAGCACGGCTGAGTCGTTGGTGATGCTACGGCCTCGCATGTGGTTGCTCTTCATGCGGTTAACGAAGGTGGTGACGGCGTTCTGCAGTGCCTTGAGGAACTGTTCGTGACTCTCCTCCGGCTCCCCGTTCTGGTACTGCTGCTGGAGATACCAAGCAGGTGGGCTGAACGTGGCCAGACCCCTGGATGAGGCAGCCTCCTTGGGTGGGGACCACCCTGACAAGCCCCCGTCAGCACATGAGGGGTGGTGCTCAGAGCCTTGGATCAGCTCCCGGGAGGCACATGAGCACCTCAATCTACAAATAAGGAAACCAAGGCCCTGGAAGTAGAGCTCTTGTCCACAGGCACAGAACTGGCCAGGAGAAGAATAGCTCAAAGGCACTATGCCTGGTGCTATGGGGCCTGCCTCCCCCTCCAAGGCTCTGGTCTGACCTTGATGGCCACCAAAGGACTTACCCGGGCAGTCTGGGCCACATCTGGATCCATATTGGTCAAAGAGTGGCCCAAGCCCTGAACCACAGCCCAACCCATACAGGTTCTACTATGAGAGGCCACCACAGGGATGGCAGGACCTCTGGCCAGAGGGCCGCCTTGGCAAAGATGCTGTGTTCTCCCCTGGAGGGAGCCCTGCTTACCTCACTGAAGGGACCCCCAGGGGGAGCCCCGGGCTGACAGTCAGCCTCCAGGAGGGGCGTCTGTAAGAGACCAAAGGACGAGTGGGGCCTTAGCCTGTCTCACATCTGACCTCTGGGGGTCAGTGGTCCAGGGGCACTGAGAATGGCCCCCTCACCTCTACCAGGCTGGCAGGGGTTGTGTGCCCCTCCGTAGGCTGAGTGGCTGGCTCCGCCAGGGGAACAGGTGCAGATGGTGTGGGGCTCTTCCGGGCCTCCTCCTGCTTCTTCTCCCAGTAGTTGCGGTTGAGGTACCTTGCAAGCTGCATAGCAAAAAGGGGTCACTCCCAAGGCCAGAGGCAGCAAGAAGATAGCACCACAGGCTGGGGCCCTTACCTCAGGGTCGATGTCCTCAGGCAGAGGTGCAGATGAGTTCTGGGAAGACAGGAGGATCTAAGGGGTGCAGGCTGAGAGGAATGGCAGCACAGCCTAGCCTGCCTAGGCACCTGCCTTGCTCTACCCTTTCCTCTTGCTGCAAAAACCTAAGCCAGCACCTTCTCTCTTTTAGATGGTGTGTCAAGATCAGAGAAAGGCCATACCCATGGCAACGCTGTATGAACAAGGCTCCTAACTTTGCTACATGAGGCCCAGGACCCAGGGATGCAGGGAAGCTCCACCTGCCCAGTGGTGGTGGGGCTGTTCTGAGCTCCAGAGCTCAGAAATAACTTTTGAAACTTCCATCCTTGGCCCTAGCACCTATGAAACAGGCTACGTCTACAACCCTATTGACAGACTGGGACTGAGGCAGATCCCTAGAAGGCAAGGCCTTCAGTACCTTTGGGGTGGACAAGCTATGGAAGAAGAGAGGTCTCAGTGGCAAGGAGTCCTGCCTCCACCCTTTCCCAGTGTCCTTAGTTCCAGGAGAGCTAAGAGCCATGGGGCCTGGAGCCACCAGGCTGTGTCTTGCCATCTGCCCAGGAGATGTGTCTTCCCACATGCCCTCATGGCTCCCATGGGAGGTGTTCAAGCCAGTCTGGCCAAGACAGAGGGGGCTCACCACAGGGGATGAATATAGGCTGTTAGCAGGTGGAGCTGACGAGGCCGTGGGCGTGGGGTCTGCCTTGGGGTACACAGTGTATGTTGACTTCTGTCTCTGAAACAGAATCACAAAGGGGCGTCACAGAAAAGTGCCTGGCATTGGACAAGGGCAGAGCCCCTGCCCCCAGCACCTCCAGGGAGGCCCCACCAGGCTCACCAGCCTCTCCTTCTCCTCGGCCTCGGACTGTGACAGGGCCAGGGCCAGCTGCAGCTCTTCTTCCTCTTGTAGAGCCGTCTCATCCCTCTTGGGAGGCAGCTGAGGAGAAACAGGGTGGGTGAGCACAGATGAGGAGGGCCCCAAAAGAGGCACCATGGTATGGGGTTTGGGTACCTGGGACTGCTGAGACAGGGGGCTGGTCAGGTACTCCGGGGGCAGCTCACTGGTGGAGGCGGCCTTCCCTTCTGCTTTCCTGGAGGTGCAACAGGACAATGCAAGGGATGCCACCCTAGGATTCCCTCTAACCATCCCCATAGAGCAATGGCAGGGCTTCTGAGGCCATGCCCCTGAAAGGAACAGGAGGGACGCTGGACCCTCAAACCAGCCACATGGCTGAGGTGAGCCACTTGGCCTAAGCTACTGTCTCCCTCTTTTGAAAAGAGATTCAAAGAGAATCACAGAGACCACAGCATCCTATGTGATCACTATGGGCCTGCCCTGAGGAGTTGCTGCCAAGGGCAGTGATGCCTTTTTTATAGTTATGAAGTCAAGAGTTTTCTAGAGTTCCACATAGCCCACATAGGTTACTGCTAGAGAGCCCCACAGCCACTGGAGATGGAAGAGCTGCAGACTACTGCAGCTACACACTCACAGCCAGAGGCCAGAACTGCAGCCCCAGTGTGCTGACCTCCAGCCTAAGGTTCTCCCTGAAACGCATCCACAGAATTTTTTTTGTTTGTTTTTTGAGACAGAGCCTCAAGCTATTGCCCTGGGTAGAGTGCCGTGGCACCACAGCTCACAGCAACCTCCAACTCCTGGGCTTAAGTGATTGTCTTGCCTTAGCCTCCCAGGTAGCTGGGACTACAGGTGCCCGCCACAATACCTGGCTATTTTTGGGTTGCAGTTGTCATTGTTTGGCAGGCCCAGGCTGGATTCAAACCTGCCAGTTCTGGTGTATGTGGCTGGCACCTTAGCTGCTTTAGGTGCCACAGATCTATACAAGACAGGCAGGGGGTAGGGGAGCTGACATGTGCAGAGGGAATGAAGACTAGGGGATGCTGTCGTGGAACTATCTAGTCACAATCAAGCATCCCCGTAGACGGGAAAATGCATGGTGCACACAAGACCCTGTTTCTACAAAAAATTAAAATATCATCTGGGTGTGGTGGCTCATGCCTCTAATTCCAGCACCCTGGGAGGCCAAGGCCGGAGGATCACTTGAGCTCAGGAGTTCAAAACCAGCCTCAGCAAGAGCAAAACCCTGTCTCTACTAAAAATAGAAAAACTAGCCAGGCACCTGTAGTCCCAGCTACTCGGGAGGCTGAGGCAAGAGAATCACGTAAGCCCAAGAGCTGGAGGTTGCTGTGAGCTGTGTTGCCACAGCACTCTACCGAGGGTGACAAAGTGAGAGTCTTGTCCCTAAAAAAAAAAAAAAGAAAAAAGAAAAGAAAAATAGCCAGGCACTGTGGCAGGCAACTTTAGTCCCAACTACTTAGGAGGGAGAGGCAGGAGATTGCTGGAGCCCAAGAGTCTGGGTTGCTGTGGGATATGACACCACCATACTCTACCTAGGGCAACAGAATGAGACTGTCTTAAAAACAAACAAAAGCAAGCCGCACGTGGTGGCTCATGCCTGTAATCCCAGCACTCTGGGAGGCTGAGGTGGGTGGATCGCCTGAGCTTAGAGTCCCGCATGAGAAAGCGTAAGACCCTGTCTCTAAAATAACCAGGTATTGTGGTGGGCACCTCTAGTCCCAGCTACTTGGGAGGCTCAGACAAGAGAATTTCTTGAGCCTAAGAGTCTGAGGTTGCTATGATGTATGATACCACAGGACTCTACCAAGACTAAGAAAGTGAGACTGTCTCAAAAAAAGAAAGGGCTCGGCGCCTGTGGCTCAAG